CAGGTTATAGATTTGTTCCACATTTTTATCTTATCGTCTAAAGTCAGAGAATGTCAAAGTAAGATGTATAACAGGCTCATCTTATCTCTTGTACCTACTTGCTGTCTCAGCTTTACAACCCTATTCTTAGAGTGCCCTAATCTCCATTGGCTGATTTTCCCCTATGTTTTAAAATGTTTCTGTTGTAGCAGCTGTAGCCAAGACAGTTTCTATTGTGTGAGTGGAAAAGTACTGCTAGTCTAATGAATGAAAATAGATGTCCAAGGTGCCTTAGTGCAGGCACCCTTATTTTAAGGGGAATGACAACAGGAAAACGTGTGGTAAAATGTAGACCATTTCTGTCAAGTTTAATGAAAGAATAATGCTAAATACTAAGTACTGAACTGTGTTCTGTTTTGGGCCCCTCGCTACAAGAAGGACATTGAGATGATGGAGTGTGTCTAGAGAAAGGCAACAAAGCTGGTGAAGGGTCTGGAGCACAAGTCTTATGAGGAGTGGCTGAGGGAACTGGGGTTGTTTGGTCTGAAGAAAAGGAGGCTGAGGGGAGACCTTCTTGCTCTCTACAGCTACCTGAAAGGAGGGTGTAGCGAGGTGGGTGTGGGTCTTTTCTCCCAAGTAACAAGCAATAGGACAAAAAGAAATGGCCTCAAGTTGCCAGACCAGGGGAGGTTTAGATTGGATATTAGGAAGAATTTCTTCACTGAAGGGATTGTCAAGCACTGGAACAGGCTGCCCAGGGAAGTGGTGGAGTCACCATCCCTGGAGGTATTTAAAAGATGCATACATGTGGTGCTTAGGGACGTGGTTTAAAGGTGGACTCAGCAGTCTTAGCTTTATGGTTGGACTCGATGATCTTAAAGGTCTTTTCCAACCAAAACGATTCTAGGATTCTATTGCCATTTTTGTTCTCCTGTGTCATCTTTACTGCTTTCCCCTTTTCCCTTTGTATGGAATGACTTAGTGAAATCTATGCTGCGTCCCTAGGCCTTATAACTGTTTTATAAAATCTATCTATATTTCACATGTGAAGTATATAAATCTTGGATATAGTGCCTGATACAATGTCAAAGGAGAATCACCCTCATTGATATCTGTTCAGTCAAGTCTGTAGAATTACAAAAATGATAAATGAAGTCTGCTTTTTTCTAAGACAGGAGAAACCAGTACCCTTTTGTAACTTTTTTATTCTCAAACTTAGATTAAAAGTATCTTTACAGTATACTAGTGGGTGTCAGTGAATTTCAGGACATTCATAATTCTGTGTTTTTCTGTTGTAGGAAAGGGACAAATTCTACTTGACGCGCAGTGTCATATTGGAGTTACTGCAGGCACTCAAGTTAAAGTCACCCTTACCAGACATGAATCTGCTGCTGTTGGTGCAGGTACAGGAGATTCTTATGTAATTCTCATATTGATCCTGTCTTGGCTCAAATTTGGGGTAGAGGCGGGGAGGGACCAAGTCCAGCATGGCTGCAGAAAGTGCCAGCAACGTCAGGGGAAAGTGAGAATATTTTGAATCAAAATCTAGTTACATTTGTAACCATAGGTGCATCTATTTAGACTCCCTCACTAGAATTTAAGAAACTAAACTGAGAATCCACATTTCCTAGGATTATGACGACCTATGCATCATTGCTGATGTATTGAGGATCATACAATATATCTCGAGTTGGAAGAGACCGTAAGGATTGAGTCCATTGAGCTTCATACCATGTCCCAATGGGGCAGCTGCCCCAGCTGCTGCCTTGTCCCGTATTGTAGCCCCATAGCCAGTGAGCAGTTTGTGGGGGAAGGGGTGCTAGCTGATCGCGGGCCAGAACTCAATTTCTGTCTATTCAGGCAGGCAGTAAGCTGTCTCCAGTCTCTGCAGGCCATTCTCTTTTAACATGGAATTTTCCAGGGAAGAATGCATAGACAATATTTCTGTTCCTTTCAGTCTGTGGGTTGCTGAGGTAGGAGTTCAGCTAGCTTTTTCATAGGGAAACTGAAGAAGTAAGATACAAGCTTGTGAAAAATCTTTCTGCTTCCAAAATGCCAAGTGTGGCACTGTTTGGCACCACAAGCCTGTCCTGCAAAAACAGTTTACGGAAGTCCATCAGTTTTAATCACAGGTAGTGGGCTCTGGTTGTTTACAGTGAGCTAGCCATTATATACATTCAGTAACTAAAAATGATAGGGAACCAGTGTAATGGTACTCCATGAGGTTCAAGCAAGATGTGTGTTATGTAGATCATTCATAATGCTCCCAGCATCACAGCTCCATTCACTCATTATGGGATCAAAGCTTCATATAACTTACTATGGGCTCATTTTCTTTTGAGTATTAGTGCATTACTCATAGTAAATAAGTGAGTTGTGAGTTAACAGAGAAATAATACTGACAAGTAAAATTATATAGCAGTTAGATAACTCTGAAAACAACTATTATTCCATCACTGTAAGGGGAAGAAGTTGAGGAAGAATAACATTTTTTTTTTTCTTTTGATGCTGAAGGGTTATTTTTTTTTTAATCCATTTTAATTTAAAAAGCAAAAATTCTTTTTTTTAAGCCCAGACTTCTTTCTTTTGGGTCCCAGCCAAGACCATCAAGTAACTTAACAACCACCAACCTCTTTCCATCTTACGAGTGCAGTGATGCAGCTTGATACCATGTGCGTCGGTGTTTGTTGACTTGAATTGACTTTTCCTATATTATGGAATAAAGCAATTTTTCTGTATTGCTCCAGTCCTATGGCTACCCCAAAGGGTGACTGTCCCACAGTCTAGTCAATCCTGAATTCCTTATTTGAGAATGCAAACATGCCATGTCAGTGGGATTTAACTGATAAACACTTGTCCTTCACATTGAGTCAATTGCCTGGTAGACACAGTAAGCAAAACTCTCTCTTACATTATCTTTATCTCATAAAGGTAAAATGATAATTGCCTGGGTTTTCCTCCTAGCACTCTTCCCATGTGCTGTATTCACTTTGGGATGTATCCATACCTTACACAACAGCACCTGATGTGATATAAATGTATTTTATGATGTCTCTCTTTCAGTGGCTGATGAAGTGATTCATATTTCCTGCTATCCAAAGCAACCAGCTTCTGTTTCTATGCAGTCAATGGTAAAGAATAGGGGTTGTATTCAGACCATCTGCCGTAGATGCCTGTTGGAGGCATGTTGACTACCTCTCCCATTGACTGTGCAAATTGGCAGCCCTTGGTAGTATGTGGTCTGAATCATTCAACAGCCTCTTCAGTTTAAATACCATAGTAACTACTAAGCCCATCTTAAGCAGCATTGTAATTTAAGAAACCTACTAGTAAAAACACATATCTGATTATTTTAATTTCCTTTGGTGTTGTTAACAGAAGAAGGGATTGGTTCACCTCTTTACCACACAAAACCACTACAATATTAATTTAAATTGTATGGTTTTGAATCTATAAAGCTGTAGCAGGGTTAACACAGCACCAAACAGAAATGATTTTAATTTCTAAGACAGTCATGTCCTCATGGATGTGTTAGCCTGTATACAAGATTCTATACAAACAGTGCGCACAGAATACAGAGGTTCAGTCAAAATGTTCAGGACTGCAAAGGAGCTGGGAGCACTTTAATTTAATGCTAGATCAGTTGTGGGCTGACTAATAAAGGAATTCCTAGGAACGTACATTTGACACCCACATTCATCCAGATTACACGGTGCCATCAGTGTCACTGGTGACATCAGTGCTAAGATGAGAGTTAACCTTATCCCACTTTACAAAGAATGAGAATTTTAACCAAATCACCTCAATCATTGCATAGGTGTCCTGGATGATAAAGGGTACAGAAAGTCTGTCTCCTTAATTTGTCTTAGCAAATGAAAGCCATCGTGTACATGCTGCTGTTCCATGGGTTTCCATAGGAACTGCTTCTTCACCCAGCATTTTGTTTCACAGCACTTCTCTCCCGCTCACATTTCACCAGCACACATCTTCAAGATTTCCTTTGACTTCAAATTATATTAGTGTCTCATTAGGATTTGCTTGTTCAGGCGAGCTCTAAGGTTCAGTGTATCATCTGATCTATTTTTTTTAGGTAATTCCTATTTTGGGCCAGACCTTCAGCTAATGTAAATCAGTGTATATCTAGTGATTCCCGTTCGTGTTTCTGTGAAGAGCTGGTCTACTAATTACTGAATGGAAGGATTTTAAATTACATATAAATGTTTATAAGAATATATGTTTTTAAAACTTGATTATGAATGGAGGTATAATATAGATAGATTATGGTATAGCGATAATTCACTACAGTCAGCAGACATTCCCATTTAGACATTACTCTGCGGCTGTATCTCAGCAGACAGTGCTAGTAAGAGGCATGGCAATTATTTGCCCATTTCTCATCTTTTTGCAATGTGGTGGTATTCTTCTTTCCTTTTTTCTTTACATATGGATAACATTAACTGTCTTGCCAGTGACATCTTAATGTGTTACAGTTTTTGTAGAGGGAGACAGCATAAATGACAGAGAATTGTACTAGAAATGTAAGAATTTTTTCATTTTGAGTTTGGTTTCCCCATCCTCTTTTGACTGCATTGCAGCTTTAAGAAGGATGCTTGGAACTGGCAGTCTGATGATGAGAAAGATAAGCTAAACAAGGCCTAATTGTTCATTAGAAACAGAATGGAGTTTGTTAGCTGTTTTTCACATATAAATTAATATCTGTTATTTAACTCAAACTCCTCTGTACAAAAGATCTAGCAACCTTACAGGAGGCCAGTAGAGGTTGCTTTAGCTGCTGCTTCTTATTCTTCTTAAAAGAAAATGTCTGAAATAAATGGCATTTGTCTTTGTCAAGGATTTTTTATTGACTTATATGATGAGTGCTGTACAGTGTCTGTAATAGTGCACTGAACTCACTGTTGGATGCTAAGTGTACTCAGCCAGATTCTTCAGGGAATTATGGTCCTTTTTTTGCAGCTGATGTTAGTACAAGGGAACCCTAATCTACACACAAATGGTTGACTGAGAAATGCTTCACACAGGAAAACAACATACCTGTTGTCCAGTGGAGCCAGCATCAGTGTTGTTCTTTCTGAGATAAGGTGCTTTAGGAGAAAATCTGTCATCTATTTGCATAAGTCCATTAATGGTACCTCTTTTAAAAGAGAAGTGGAGAGTCATGGTTGTTGTTTGAACTAAGACTCAACTTTCTTTACTGGATTGATACAGCCCATGACCCTAAGGCATTCTTTTGCATCCCATGCAATGATTAGACCTGGTGTACAGAAGAGCACCAAGCCATCTTTCAACTGAAGTAGGAATTAGATTCTTGGTGTATTTCCATTTTGCTTATTCTGGTGTAAAATAAATTCTAACGAGAAGAAGAGTCAAATGAAGCCAAGTCTGTGTCTGAGGATACCTAATTAAATTATTAAACTAAATTCAGGTGTGTCTTTCTGGTATTTATCCCAAAGAACAGACTTTTGGCCAAGACATATGTTGAGTAATTTCTAAGCCTTGGTAGGCAGTCTGAGTTCAGATTAAATCTGTCATTGAAAGGTAAAGCTTGTGGAACTGTAAGAGTAAATTCTAGGTCTGTAAAGGATATTTGTAAATACTCTGAAGAAGAGAATCATTGAGAGTACTGCTAACACACATGCATCAGGCAATTGTAAAATATTGTGTAGTCAGTATCTCTCTCAGTTTGTGAAGGTACCACAGTATTCATTTTCAAGAAAGAAAATTAAGGCTTAGACCTTAGTTTGACAGTTCTTTTGTCTGTTCTTTCTTAGAATGTTCCATTGCATCACTATGGACAGAAATTGCTCAAGTGCAAGTACAGTATTAGGACAATAAGTTTTAGTAACAGGCAAATCATCTGCAGGGTGTCACATTCATTATTGAAGCTTGTAATGATTAAATAACAGTGCTAGCAGGTCTAACATATGAATGTTGTGTACACCAGAGATTTTGGGTCAAGGGATTTGGAAATATAAAGGGGGGGGGGGGGGGGAAGGGCAAGAAAAAATAAAAGCATAAGAAAACCAGAGATATTCTATGATACTGGCCTTCTCTCAGAAAGAGCTTGTATTTTTTTAGTATTGTGGCCTGTATTATGCAGAAGTTATACCACACCATACCAGTATGTTCTCAACTTCAAAATTGTTCGTATAATAATCATTGTACAAGTTTAGTGAAAGTGTTGTAATATCACAGTGAAGAACATGGCATACTGCCTTAGCATCTTCTGTTGTGATTTACTCTGTAATTAAAGAGGAACATTTGACATGTGCAAGGAATAGCAAAGATAGATATTTTTGCTCACAAAGAAAATCTGATATATTACTACATATTATTGTATAATATTCTTCAAATTGATCCTGTGCAGCATATATGAGTTAATTAAGCACATTGAAGTCAATTTTTTTTAAAAATTAAAATTAGCTCATTTATAATGGTGAGTTAAACTAGGTTATTTATAAAGAAAGAAAGTTCTAAAGGCAAATTACCATGGATAAAAGCAATAAGAGATCTGAACTGATTTTAATGAAGTAGTGAATAACTTATTAGTGTCTTCAGGTTCTTTCAAAAAGAATTTAAAAATAATTTGTCTTTAATTTCTTCTTAGTTTGTTTGTGCAGATGCTGGAACAAAACTAGCTGAGTCAACAATCTTGCATAAACAGATGATTGCCTCCATGCCTGGAGTAAGTACTGAATCAAACTCCATCTTTTAGGTTTGACTTTTAAAAATATATCTTATTTAGCTCATTTTGGTTCACTTGAACGTTCTTTCCTTTTCATTTCTTCTCTGGGTGGCAAAGTGTATTGCAGGCAGAGGCTGAGATGCTTCTTCCTTTTTATTAATGTTGGAAAATTTCTGAACTTGATATCGCTTCCCATACTCTCACTGATAATCCTGAGTCAGATGACTGACTAGCTGGAGCCTGTGCTCAAAAAGACAATGTGAGGAACATACCAGCTGAATGCCTCAAAACATGGCAGCAGGGAAGTTGCAAGCCATTGCCTCCATTCTGACCAAAGACTGTCTGGTTAAAGAAGGGAGTTAACAGTATTTTTCTAGTAATGTATAAGGTATTAATCTATATCCTGCTGATGAGTGTAGCTAAGTTAGCAGTACCCATAATTGTCTAGGTGCTGAATATGAACACGCGAGGATGTAGCACAATTGACTTGCACTATCATACATCTAATTGAGTACCCGAATGGATGAGGGTTAGCCCAGGTCTACTTCACAAGCTGTTTCCCTATATGTATGTCTGTCAGGTTTAGGGGTGACCTAATTGATCTTTCTTGAATATCTTCTGAAGTGTGTGACTTTTTAATGCAAATCTTTCGCCTTTTCTCCCAACAGAATATTTTAATTTATACTTGGTTTAAATAGATAGACTGACATTGGTGTTACAACGTGTGATAGGGAATTGATCAATTCAGAAGAAATCGTAGAGAATCGAGTTGCTTGCTGCTTGAATGAAACAGAATAGATGGTTGGAGATAAGTCTTTTGCAACAGAGCATTATTATTCAGAGGTCTCAGTGTAGTATCTTTTATAATTCTATTATTCAATATTTTTGAACCCATGGGGAATCCATAGTCCCCATAAACTGGATGGAGGATACGCTGACAGGGCTGCCAGTGACCTTATTTTACTGTTTGTTATTCTGTCAAGGGAACTGACAAGCATAGCATTTGAAGAGCCAGAAGGTGGTATAGTTCAACACTATGTGGATTGATGCTAACAAAGAAAAATGAGAAGTCCCCAGGACAGTTGCTTAAAAATGGAATGCTAGCAGTTTTAAAAATTTCAGCCACTAAAACTCAATTATGGTTTAATAATTTTCTGTTCAAATCTAAATATGGTTCATTTGTGTACTCAGATATGGTAATCAGCTTCTGTGCTACAAAGTGTAGGTAGTTAAATCGAGGTCAAAGAAGAGTAGTTTTCCCCTGTAAACTTTAATGCAATGTTTGCCCTGAGCCTATGACTTTGGGTAAAAAAGGTTTTGGCAATTTCAAAAAGATACCTAATTTGGATATAATTTCATCGTATAGCCTCTGAAGTTAAGCATTGCTTTTACTTGGTCCCTAAGAATGAGGCATCCATTGTTCCCCTTGAATTCAGCTGGCATTATCTTCACCTCAGATTATTGACATAAAACCAGAAGTTTATATCTTCCCTAGTGGGTCAGTTGTCTCACCTTCTCAAAGCTGTTCTCCAGGGTTCTCTGGTCTGTTGGAAGCCTTTATTTAGTCTGGCAGTTTAGTTCTGTTGATGGCTTTGCACACCTTGGGCATGTCTTGTACTAGCTGAAGGCCAGATTCACATTTCTCACTGTATTCTAGGAAAAGGATTATGAAAATTTGTACTATGGGAATACATAAAGCACCACATTGAGTCCTTTTGTTTCCCTTTGAGGTCATTTTTGCTCTGGCACAGGTCGTTTCTTACTGCTTACACCTTTATGGTCCAATTGGAGTACTTAATGAAGGATTTCATGTATCCCATACAGCTCTTGCATCCCATTTTGAAAATTGCAACTAGTTTAAGTGCCATTAGAATGCTGTATGTTGAATGATTTTGCTACAGGAATATCCTAGAAACCTTTGTTAGTTTTAAAAAAAAAGTAATTTCAATGATGTTCATTTTAGTAATGTTTACACATGAAATACATGAAGCCAGTCATTTAAATTGTTTTTCTATCATGATTAATGTGAGCATAAGGGCATCTGTGCCTGTGATTGAATTCTGCTTTCTGGGATTGTAGCTGATTGGTTCCACTTGCACAAATGCTCAGCTGCTTGAAGAACCAATTTGTTAAACTCTCATCGACTTTTTAAGACTTTGATTTTGGGCCACTGTAAATTTCAGGATGACATGACAAGGATATTCTTGAAAGTTTCATCAGTTAATCTTTCATTGCTGTCAGAGATAAGAGTATTTTGTGATGCATGAAGAAGCTACAGTGACTAGGCTATCTTTTTATACTATCATCAGATAAGAGGGCATATTACAGTGAGAAGAAAAACATCAAAGAATGGCTGTTCCTAATTAAAGTAGTTACTCTAACTATAAAGTAAAATAAAGAATGTGAGATGGACAAATTGTGTTCTGGTGAACAAGAAGCAAAGACAAAAACATGAACATATTCCAAACCTTGTACTTTAACATTTCTTTTATGTTCTAGTGTGGAACGGCAGCAATGGAATGCATGAGGCAATATGTCGGGGAAGTGCTGGATTTCATTGCAGATATGCATACGTTAACCAAACTAAAGGTTGGTTCTGGGCATCCATTGACCTAAAGTGTATGTGCTTTTTTAAAAAAATATATTTTCTGTAATTAACTTGCCTGGGAGAAATGATTGGACAGGGTTTTTTCCTTTTTTAAAAAAAAATGTTAGTACTGTTATAGATTAGACACTTTTAAGGGATCAGTAAAAAGGAGCTAATATATTGCTAATTGTCAGTCATAATGCTGTGGAGGGGGCAATATTATTTATTCTATCTAGCATAACGCTATCCCAGTAGGTAGTTTTATCATACCATCTGAAACTGAGTACTAAGTGAGCATGGAGCTGGAGGTGAAACTTCGGTGGTTAAAATCTTTCTTTTTGTAGAGGGAAAACACCTGTCTTGTAGTGGAGCCGTCCAACTGTCACTTCTCAATGCCAGGCAAAGTTAGAGCCTAGTCTTTTGGGCTACATACCGGTACCCTGAACAAGGGTGGATTTCTTTCAGCATGCAAAAGGGAGGCAAAGGTGTGGCTAGGCCTTGATGCTTCTAACTTCTGCAAAACTGCAAGACAAATGAATGGTGTGGGAGTGCAACAGAGAGACCATTCCAGATATGGAGGAGTCTGTGGTGTCAAAGATGCAGCTAGTTCTGAAATCTGGCAGCAGAGTTTTAGTATTTCTACACCAGTAACTTGGTGATCCAACGGGAAGTTTGTCAACTGAAAGAGTTCATTTCATCACTGGGCCCAGACAAGTAGCTGCCAAGCTGCTTTTATGTGAGCTAAAGCTCAGTGAGAGAACCAGTGCTCTCCAGTTTTGGCTAGCACAAATCATACTGCCATTGCTTACGTGCTGTGGCTTTTGTGTATGTGGTCTTGTAGGGAAGTTCTTTGAGCAAGCTTTTGCATTTGTTTCTAACCTCAAGAGCCACTGTGGTTCTACAACACAGAATGCACCCACTAATAAAGGGTATTGGCAGTATGTTTTTCTGAGAAATTAGTATGGTTTTTTTACTGAAAGGGCCCCTCTACTACTGAACCTCTGCTAAAAATGCACTGGAGTGTTTCATGCCAGGAGTTCACACAAACATTCTGTGGCAGGCAAAAGAGAATAAATTGTAACCTGTAGTGAATTTTGATACTGGAGTTTATTTATGAAGTAATGAGATGAGAACTTTTACTCTACTAGTTTATCTGGCACACTTGCTCGCTCGCTCTCCCCTGCCTCATCCACCCCACCTCATGCCCCAAAGGGGACATCTCATTGCAAGTTAATAATACTGACCGCAAAGGAGGAAGGCTCCCAGCAAAACTGAAACTCATGTCTCTTGAAACTCACTGTAACCTTGTTTTACTGGACAAAATAGCTCTTTTGTAACTGGGCCATTTAAAACTAAATCAGAACCAAATGGTCTAAAATTTCATGTTGTTTGGATTCAGCCATGTAATACAAAATCTGAGAACAAGAATAACATAGCAGGAGAGTCAAATATGACTCTAATTGTATGTATTGTAAAGAATAAGCTTTGGCTGACTTTAGAAAATGAAAATTTAACTAGACCAGATGAACTTATTCTGTGGTTCCAACATAGCTGGGAAAATATTGTGAGCACTTCTGAATTTACAAATTGTCAGAACTTTAAACAAATTCACAACTTCTAGATTCATATTCTCGAAAGCTGATGTAATATATTTGCTTACGTTGCTTGGGTTTTATTAACAGAGGTGTTCATAGGAAGTGAGTCCTAAGATTGTCCAGTTGTACAGTTTCTTACTATGAGTATGCATCTCCATCAACAGCATCTGGACTACTAAACTGACACAAAGAATGCTATATTATTTATTTGGCCAGTAACAGTCCTAACAGAAAGAAGTTTAATCTTGGTTTTCAAATTTTGAAATTCCTACTCTCTGTAGAAATTCACTGAACAGAAATAGTTGAAATTGTTTGTTAATTTCCAATGTCTCATTTTCTGTGTCTGAGAACAGTTTCTTTGAAAGAGGTTAATTATTTTCAGTCCTACCTATTAGCAACTACTGCATTATAAAGAAGCTTTGAATGTTAATTCTCAAGATAATCACAATCCAGTTCATTTTTCCTGTTCAGTTTGTTAATTTTTTCCCTTTGGGATAACACTCTAATTGGTAAAGCTCAGCAAGGTTTTATTTAGAAAATTCCACCATTTTTTAAGAAGTACAATGTATCTGCCTGCATACCTGTCTATCCTTTTTACCTGGCTATATAACAAATTCATTAGATAATCATGCTGGTATCATATTTTTTTTTCTCTTTAAAGAGACTTCAAGTAAATGATCTTTAAGAGTGTAAGTTGTTGGGGTCAGATACTTAACTATTGTAAAATATTACTGGCTCACTGATTTTTATCCTGTTGTAATAATTTAATAACTGATGACCTGTATTTTCTTGTGCAAAGCATATGGCTCTCCTTTAAACAAGCAAATGCACTCAGCATGTGTTCTGTTAGTCTAGTAACAGAAGGTAATGCAAAGTTAGCTTCATTAGAAATATAGGAGTAGCTCAAGAAGCACCAATGAAACATTCCTTAGAGTTGACAAAGTAGGATAATAAATTATCTTTCCAGGAATAAATATTTGCATGTTTCTTGGCAAAAGGCTTAGCTATTTTATTTCCAGGGCTTAAAGGCATTTGTAGCAGCTGAATAGTGTGACATAGTCATATCACTTATGAACGAGTAATGGCTTATATCTGTACACATAAATGGAATATTGCACAGGGAAGGCGTTTCCTGCCCAGATGCTACCTTGTTAAATGGTTAGATTCTTTCGTCTTCACTTAAGCTGTCTGGATGTGCAACCATTAGTTTGTACTCAGAAAGGTGCCTATACATTTTGCACTATTCATATTTTGTGTGGGCTCTTGGAAATGTGGCCCTCCATGGAAAGAGCTGCATCATAAAGCTGTTACTAATATAGGGACTGGATAGTTTTTAAAATCTGTTTCTGCATTTTGTTCTGTAGTTTTGTAGACACAGTTAGAGACCCTGAGGAACTGAAGGGAAATGAAATACAATATGCTGTTGTTTGGAAAAACTTAGTTCAAGTAAAGTACTCTTTGGGTAGGAAATCAGATCTTTGTCTTGCAGAGTCACATGAAGACCTGTTCTCAGCCACTGCACGAAGACACATTTGGTGGACATCTGAAAGTGGGTTTAGCTCAGATTGCTGCTATGGAAATCACACGGGGAAACCACAGAGACAACAAAGCTGTGATCCGATATTTGCCTTGGCTGTACCATCCTCCTTCTGCAATGCAACAAGGGTGAGAATGCTTTTCCACAGGAAGAGGAATACTAAGTTAGAAATCTTCACAAAATTCTGTGTTTATTGCCAGATTTCATAGATAAGACCCATAGTAGGGAATAGTGGCTATGGGACATTGAAACAGCTGGTCAGCAGCTCCCTGGTGTTTATTTAACTGAGGAGTTCATCAATGCAATATTTAACTTACATGCCAAAGGGACAGTGGAGCTAACTCCATTGGCTTGCCTGGAGTTCCCCTGGCGATTAACTTGGTTCTCGATCTAGATACAGACAATGGAAAACACACAGGTACTTGGTCAGTCCTAGAATTATAAAAAATATGTTGGAAATTATAGAGAATACAATGGGAAATGTCCTGTGAAATTATGGAGTACAAATGAGTGGTAGCTGTAAGCATAAGCCTATTCAAGTGATGATATAAATACTAACTTTGTCTGGTTAAAGTTAAATGAGAGAAATCCTGCTCATCAAGACATGTTTTTTTATCCCTTTTCACTGTGAGAAATTCTAGTCTGTGGTGTTTTATCTTTGAAAGAAGATAAAAGAAGGGAGATAGTGGCCATTGTTTTACAGTGACAACGAACAAGGTGTTTTGAGTGTAGACCATTGGACTGTGTTTCAAAAAAACCTGTATTCTTGTCCCAGCTTTGTCCCAAACTTCCTGCCCCAGGATTCTGGGGACTGAGCTGCTTAGGCTCCAGTCCTGGAGATACGTTTGCTTGTACTTTCATGGAGACCATATCTAGTTTTGTAAATATGGAGTTGTTATCTCCTTGTGCTTTAGTTTCTTACATGTAAAAAGAGGATTATGTGTTCTGAGTTGAAGGTAGTGAATTCCCTTAAGACCTTGTAGGTGCTTGAGGAAGAGCATAATACCAGAGTCTATAAAAAAAAAAAATGGAATGCCTCTTTGGTGCTGAGTCCTTGACAATGACATCAAATTAAAAATAAAAACCAGTAGTGAGAGTCGCCTAGTAAGTAGTGATTTATTGATTGAAAAACAATTATTTTTTCCCTGTGCCTGTGAATTCAAATGAGTATATAATATGAAGTTGATAGCGGCAAGGGGACAGACAAGGTGACACCAGAAAAGTGTTACTCTTTTTAGACATTGCACTAGGTCATAGATGAATACTTAAGCATCATAAAAAAGCCCTCAAAAGCATGCAGTCCAAATGTCCAAGGAGAGGCTAAGGAAAAAAAGACATTAACTCAATTTTATCAATGCAGAAGTGGAACACAGGGGAAGGGAAGTCAGGCATGGTGTCTGGGAGCTCGCTGTGGAATGCTGAATCTCCTGCCATCACCATGTCAGCTATGTGCTGTCCAGAGGAGGTGGGAGGAGCGCTTCCACTTGGGCAACTCTTCCTACCTGATAATTTCTGTGTGAAAAATCACTGTGTATGGAACCAGTGAATCTGTGAATGTTTTATCCTTTTATAGAGACCATTTCTTAGACCCACCATATATGTTCTGTTGGGCTTGTTAATGGTATGTCAAGTCCACTAAGCACTGTGTGGTTCTCATCTTCCCATAAGCTCTACCCATGATCTGTGCATCCAGCACACTGAGACTACATCTGCAGAGTGTGCAAAAGGAGACTCCATGTTTTGGGGAAAACCAGAAAACTTAGCAGCATTGTAAAATTCACTCTTTCTTGACAGGCCCAAAGAGTTCATAGAATGTGTGTCACACATTCGTTTGCTGTCGTGGCTACTCCTGGGGTCTCTGACACACAATGTTGTCTGTCCAAATTCTCCATCATCTTGCATGCCTATTCCACTGGATGCGGGTTCACAAATTGCTGACCACCTTATTGTTATTCTGATTGGGTTTCCAGAGCAATCAAAGGTAAGGGATTCTGTGTTTTAAATGGACGTGTGTTATAATATTTGCCTTATTATTGCAAAAACTTTTAATTTCTTCCTAAGAAAAAAAGAGGGGTAAAACCTTACTAAAACCTGAGATCTAGTGAAAGAAAGCTCTGTAGTTTTTCTTTCATAGCTGCCTCTTCACGCATAGAAAACTGGTCATGAAATCAATACAATTAAGGTTTGAGATTTAACTATTTTAAAATACCTCAGCACAGGAGTGAGGAAGGAAAAACTGAATTCCAAATTGAAGCTTTAGCAATGGCCATCTCTGTAGCAAATGTCTAGAAAGTTATTTATTCTAGTTGTATAGTAGAATTGGATAACCTATAAATAATGTGATCAAATTTAGTTACAAACAATGACAGTTCAGGCACAACTTGTGCAGAGCACCTTCAGAAAAAAAAGTTATTGCAAATCATAAGCCATTTGTGACAGTAGTTTAAGACAGATATAGCAGCACTCTCTGACACCAACTTGGTTTTTATTAGCAACAGAAGCAGAATGATCACACATTTATCTTGTATGTAAAATCCCCTTTCTTTCCCTGCACCCAGCCAAGACACTGGTGCTTCCCATTCATTTCTTTGTCCTTTTTTTGCTCTTTCAAATACTTCTTTTCAGTTACCAAGCAACCATTGCAACGTTTGATGCAGTCATACTGCCACAGAGCATGAATCACTGTTGCACTTGCAAACTGAGAAAACATCTCTGACCAGAAGTGTCTTTCTTGAAATGAAGTAGTTAATGTCCAGCACTCCTAGAAGCTCAGACACTGTGATATATAACACATATTAGCAAAGAGCCATGCTTGACTCTGCAAAATGAATTCTCTGTTAGCTTTCCAAAACTTACTTTCATTGACTGTGAGCAGTTCTGTCCCAGTGTCCTAGGACACCCAGCAAGGTAGAAATGGACAACAGATTAACAGAACAGATGTAAGATGGTTTATTTTGTATGATAGCCTTCCTTTCAGGTGATCAGAATCTGAGTGACTTATTCCAGCAGCATTTTTGAAATGGAATTATAGATGCCAAAGCCTCCAGGCCTTCCACAGATTGCAGTGGAGTTTTCCATCCGTAAAGCCTCAGGACTCGTCCCAAGTAGCTGTTCTGCAAAACTAACCTTTTTAAAGCGACTGACCTTAATGCCATACACTAAGATTGCATGGGAGTGTGTGTTTGCAAATGCAGTTTTTAGTCTGTAAATATAAAACCAGTTTTTAAACATGGAGAAGATGTTATCAAGTGTACTTGACTTACTAGTTCCTAGGGGAAGGGAAAAGTGGGAAAGTGAGGGGCAAGACTGCACACTGGGATGCATGACAGAGGAGTGCTTTGATGAAAGCCTCTGCACTTTGTGCCAGTACACTTATTTCAATAAACTTTTTCCTCTATTTTCTGTTTCTACAGACATCTGTTCTGCATATGTGTTCCCTCTTCCATGCATTTATATTTGCTCAGCTCTGGACAGTGTATTGTGAACAAACAGCAGTAGCTCCAACAGTCCAGAATCAGAACGAATTTAGCTTTACAGCAATCCTTACAGCCCTGGAGTTCTGGAGCCGAGTGACACCTAGCATTCTACAGCTGATGGCACATAACAAAGTGGTGAGTCAGGTGCTGTGTACAGATCTACTACAGATTAACCCTGGAGGGCTTGGCTTTGTTTCAGTGTTCCAGTGGCATGCATCAAACTACGAATAGTAAAGCAACTTTGATGCTTTTGAGAAGTTAAAAGGAAAGCTAATTAGTAGTGGTGTAACCTTGCAGTGCATCTGAAACAGGATCTAGCCAAGATCTGCCTGAAACAGAGTCAAGAGCTGTAGTTGCTCCTTGTTGGATTATGGGCTCCCTGCATCAGGTCTCATTTTATATATCTTCCAGCTCTTCACAGTGGTCCTATTGTTTCATCTGACTCTGCCTTACAGGAGCAACTAAGTATTTTAGGTTAATTCTGTGAATATCCACTTCAGTATTTTTTACCATGTGATAGTGAAAAAATACACAAATGCTGACACTTGACTACTTGTAACCCATTGGTTACTCATAAAAAATAAGCTGCATAAATATCTCTGGAAATATTTTTGAGTAATGAATGACTTGAAGGAGGTATCTCTAGAGATAAGGTTTGAAAGAGAAATGTTCACTTTGTCCAGAAATCGTCCGGACCATTTTTTTTTAAGTAACTTTTAAGCTTTTATTTATCTCAACTACTCACTGCTGTTGGAGCAACTTTGTACATTAAGAACCCAGAGGGGTTCCAGCAGCCTTCTCATTGGTGCTGCTTTTGCTTCCTATTGACTAAGGATTCTCTCTGCGTGCAGGCTTAGCGTTGAGAGCTTGTTTCTGATGTTCAAGATATATTGTGGGTTATGACTTCTCAGAAAGTGTCATGACTTGTCAAAACTTTTTAACTTTAACTGGGATGATAACTAGTATATGTGTCTAGATAGACAGAGAGAGAGAGTTGGGGCTGTTAGACAGCCCTGCCTGATAGACAGGCTGAGAGAGTTGGGGCTGTTCAACCTGGAAAAGAGAAGGCTCCAGTCAGATCTTATAGTGACCTTCCAATACCTGAAGGGGGCCTACAAGAAAGCTGGGGAGGGACTTTTCATAAGGGCTACTAATGACAAAACAAGGGGAAATGGCTTTAAGCTGAAAGAGGGGAGGTTTAGATTAGATATTAGGAAGAAGGTTTTCACTGTGAGGGTGGTCAGACACTGGAACAGGTTGCCCAAGGAAGTTGTTGATGTCCCCTCCCTGGAAGTGTTCAAGGCCAGGCTGGATGAGGCTTTGAGCATCCTGGTCTAGTGGAAGGTGTCCCTGCTGATGGCAGGGGGGTTGGAACTAGATGATCTTTAAGGTCCCTTCCAGCCCAAACCATTCTATGATTCTATGATTCTATGGAGAACTTGAGAAAAGCTTTTAGTGAGAAAGATTCTTCATATGTGAGATTTTCATTCTTTGATTGTTTGGGTTTTTTTCTTTTTAAAATGGAAACCTTCTATCTATATGGAAATTATTTTAGGTAAAATTCCCCTTTCCCTGTGGGAAACATCTTCAACCCCGGGCAGGTATGGATCTTTGTCCTTTCAACTGTAATTGAAGTTGAATGCACTTAAATGTCTTTGAACCAGTTATTATTCCCTTGTGTCTTGTCCATATCAGGCAAGGTCCACCTAAAGCTGTCTTTAAATGATATTTTAGCTTCCGACATCTAGTGAGATCTCTGTGGCTGACAAGCCCCTGTGGGGAATAGTAGTTCATGAAGCTCCATTTGAATGAATGGGAAAAGTGCATAACACATCTACAGACACAAAAGCTTCTTGTCCAGCCTTAGGACAAGATTATGCCCTGGGAGGCCCAAGTTCCAATTCTTATTCTGAAAGTACCTAATTATGTGGCTTTGGTGCAAGTTATTAGACTCTCTGCCTCAGCTATTGCTCTGTGAAATGCAGATAATAATACTTGCCCATCTCACAAGGGTGTTGTGAGGTTAATTAGTTAGTGTTCGTAAAGCGCTTTGAAGATGAAAAGCACTATATAAAAGCTAAGTTTATTATTATTGAGGGGAATTTACACATAGTTCAGACAGGCACTGTAAATACTCGCTGCTGGCTCAGGTTGTTTGTCTTGTACCTATGAATTTACACAATATAAAACATAAAATGCTGTCTACAACCAAATAACTGCTATTTGCATCTGTCATAATTCATGGTACAAAATTATGGACTAGCTGCCAGTTCAGAACAATAAATTGTCTTTTGATGGGTGAAAAAAGAGGTGGTTTTTTGGGGTATGTTAATTTTCAAAGATTCAGTAAATAAAAATATCAATTTCTGACACTGATTGATGAGAACTACACAGAAAAAGCATGTAAAAGGATTTATGATGTCTGAAAAGAACAAAGATGAAGGCAACTTGTTTTGATGTGTGATATGAATTAGAATACATCAAGCATTTTGAAATATGTAACAGATAGGTGTTGCTGCATCAGGGGAAAACTAAATAAAGAGAAATGTCTCTTATGTGCTCATGTAATATTTAATCTTATGTGTCAGTGATTAAGAAATGCACATCTAATGATTCAGTATAACTGCCAAGCCAATACAGGAAGATTCTATTTAGAGACTGTTGGCTTAGCTTACAACACTTATACTGAACACTAATTTGTTTTTGTTTGATTGTGTTTTTTTCAAGATGGTGGAAATGGTATGCCTGCATGTGATTAGTTTAATGGAGGCTTTACAGGAGTGCAACTCTACTATCTTTGTAAAGGTAGGCATATCACACCATGAATATTTAGTTAAGGATGTTGCCTGTCTACTGTGATTTGTAGATGTAGTGTCCTCTGCTTCCCCTCCCACTCAAAAAAAGAAAGTGGAAGAAGCTGAGCTTGAATGCTAATGCAGAAATAAAACCTAGTAGAGCATAACAAAAAATAAAATCTCTGGTAAGAAGTAAGACCAGACCATAATCTCAGATACAAGTTTTCCATGGTTTTTTTTTTTTTTAAATGAACTTATGATCTGCTTTCTCTTTCCATTGTTGCAATGGTCTTATTCCTCTAATAGACTCAACTGGTGTCACTAACTTTGAGGACCCCTAGGTACTGTCTGAATTTTCAGCCATTCTGTAGCTTTTAATCATCATAGATCCTTTGCAGGTCACCTCATTGTTTTGATCCTCACGTTCTTTTAGGCTGAAAACAAAAACTTTGTGCCACAGTGGTTTTATTGTTATTATATACCTACGGGTCTGACCTAGTCAAATATTATTTGATAGTGAATCTTCTCCCACTAGGATGTGAAACAGGGTGTTGTTTGGTTAGAGAATCAAATCCTGCATGCTCCATTCATGTAAAATTATTTTTTTGGAAATCGGTGGTCAGTCTCCTATGGTTTGCAGCATTTTCAGAACAGATTCCCAAAGGACTGAGGTAGTAAGTCGATTTTCCTAGCCTTTTTTACATGTTTTCCCATTGCATTATTCTGAAAGTAGTTTTCACATAAAATATCAACAAGTCAAGTACTTAAACACATTCTGGATCTAACGGAAGTATGTTGGTTTATATGTTCTGTTGCCATAAAGGAAACTTCTGGTTGTTGTCTTACTCCAGTCTTTTATGGTCAAGCAGGATTTGAAAATAAAGTAGCTAAAATTGATGGTCTTGATGTCAACTGGCATGAAAGTATTCACGCTTATTGTGAAAATATGGATTTATAGTCAGTAATGACTTGATTCACTACAGAAACTCTGTCACTATGGGGTCTTGAAGTGATCATGGCTGTCCCTGGAAGACATATGAGCTTCTTTTTCAGCCAGTCCAGGTTGTCCAGAATTTGACAAGGATGAAGAATGGCTTTAAAGCTGTGAAAAGAGAGGCCTTTAGGGCCAAATGAACACTTTCAGGGGTTTATATTTGAGAGTATATCTCAATAATATGCTAAATCAGGTTAAAAGGACATTGATGTTACTACAAAATTAAGCTTATAAACCTGTGAAATTCAGAGTTAAGGTGCTAAGTTTTCTTTCGTGTTCAGTGGATGGGAGATGGAAGAGAAGAATCAGGGTGACTAAATCCCTTTTACTTAGTCCTGAAGTGAAATCATGCAGGAACAATATACATACATAATATAATAGTGTTATAGAATTTGTAGCCCAGGTTACTAATAGTTATTTTCCAAAACTAACTAACAGTAAAAATATTTATTGTAGATCTGAAAAGCAAGTGTCACAATTTGGGGAAAGACTTACTGTATGTTTTAAATCCTTCAAAGAGGCCAAAGTGTAAAGCCTATTCACACAGGAACCAGAAAGTCAGTGGCATCTCTGTAATTTAAAAAAAGATCAACTTTTATACTCTCTTCTTAAGTGGCTGTGAAGATGATCTGCAATTTGTTACTCCTGCTTTAGAAGTCTACAAGGAGTTGACTGGGCAGTTTTTTGGTAGCTTGTTTTATTCTAGATAATCTTTTATTGCCCTGCCTTTGATAATGTAACAATTTTGTATTGTGCTTTAAAGCTTCTTTTTAAAAAAAAAAAAAAAAAATTTAGATGTAAACCTTTCAAATGAAGTTTAGTTTTCACTGAAGGATAGGACATAATGTAGTGAGAGAGATTTTTTTTTTAAACAGAACATACTTAACTCTCTTTTGGAGATTGATTCAGCAAAATTAATAATTCCCAATGATTTCCTCCTGGAACTGAGCATAGTAGCACTGATAAATCCTGACCATTTATCATTCATATAATTATATTTACTGCAGTGTATTTTATTCCACCTAAGGAATCAGGTGCTGCAAAAACTTAATTTGTTAATGAAGTCATTGCATGATTCAACACACTCGTATTTTAATGCACCACAAGGAGAAGGTGGTGTATGTCACGTGATGCCAGGCGGTTCATGGGATAGGTATCTTAGGTGGCCATGACAAGCGAGAGGAAAATGTCTGAACACAAGAGAGAAAGAGAAGACGTAGCTTTCCTTTCAGCTTTCCTTCACTGAAAGAAGAGCTTTCTTTATGCCTGAGATAAGCACTCCTTCATCTCCTCCTTGTGTTGGTGCTGTGAGGTTTCCTCCTCCTGGTACTGTGTTGACCTTTGCTATTAAATTAAACTCGCACTGATAGCATTGAGACATGTCTTGATTGCCCCCTATAGTCTTTGAGCCATTCCCTGTATTCTCAGAGGATTTTTTTTGGATTTGATGTTAGACTATCTTTACCAGTCTGGTGAGGAAAACAGTTTCTTTCCTGTGAAAACATTTCAACCATTATGTATTTATTTTTCTTTCTAAGTCGGAGTGAGTGAGATAGATATATATCTATATATACACATTTATGCAGATGCACACATACCTACATATATATTTAGTTCATCATATTTCCCTTTGATGGGAAGCATTCTGCTTTAGGAGGGCTGAAATGAAAGTGTTCAGCTTTCCTCCTGTTTTTCTATGTCAAAGGAACTGTGAGACTGGCCATCCCAGGACAGCCATTGATGATGGAGACCAGCTCCTTGCTGATCACAGTGCTCTGTCTGACCATCAGATGTATGTCTGAGGAATTTGGGAGCCTACAGTAGTGAAGGGAGCTGCTCAGCAAACCATAACAGCTTTTCCAGAGAACCAGAGGTTTTAGGCAGCTCCAACAGCTGCTGGGTAGACTTTTAGAGAACTCGACAGGCAGCAGAGTTGGGAAGCCAGAAAAGCACAGTGACCAACCTGTTCTCCAGCCTGGTTTCCATCAAAACTTGCACTGCATTCAACATAATTCTGTTGAAAATACAAACTCCAAAAAATTGACAGTGTCTGACAGCAGTCTGTTCTTCCAGCTGTTCTTTCTAACTGACTTTGTGTTCCTCCTTTCTGAAGAAAAGGCTGGCTAGGGATTAGGTAATAAAACTCAAATGCTTCAATAAAAATGTCTTCTCGTCTCATTTATCTAACTGGCAACTGTAGGAGTGGAGGGTTGGCTTGTTTTTGCCTGCAGCAGAATGTTTAATTTCCCTAAATGTGTCCAGACCCTGGAAGACAGCAGTGATGCTGGAGGACAGTGATCTGTATTTAACTGTAGACCTCTACAGCATAGGTATCATTATGAGCTAGTTTCTGTGAATGCCCTTTACAGTCAGCAGAGGTAAACAGGTGTTTCTGGACATGATTCGTCCTGATCTGTTTTAGATACCTGCTTTGGGACAAGATGAACTGGATGCAAGACGTGCTTGATTCTTTCAGCTGAGTGTAAAAGATGTCCAGTGAATTGGTTCAGATGCAGAGGGTACCCTGAGTTTTCTGCCTAGCTTCCCTCCTTGCTTGACATACTTTTGACACGAGTCCTGTCACCACTGCCTGGCTCCACAGGAGCTTCATTAATGCTGGATGAAATTTCCAGTGACATTTTGTTGATGACAGTGTGGCATGGAGCATGGCTTCTCAGTATGTTTACCTGTTCCCTCCTCTCCAAAAAACACATCAGGACTTGCTGTCACTGGATCTTATTAAGCACGTAGTTAGTGTGAGAGCCCACAGAAGGATGTACAGAACTCGCACATCTGCTGCATCTGGCTGCATTCCAGCTCTTTTGGCATTCATCTATCTGTAAATGCTGAGGTTTGAATATGGTTCTTTATGTGGTAGACTAAGTAATCAGTCCTGACAGAGCTGCATATGATTCTCCTGCAAAACAGCACTGAAACTGAAACAATTATCATTCCTTGCACAAGAGAAACAGCACTTTATCTAATGTTGTCAATAGTGATTAGGTTTAACTTGCAGCTCCCAGTAGCGTAATTGGCAAATTGCAAATTTTAATGCCATTTGGAGGAACATTTTAAAAGAATAACCTCAGTGGTTAAATTAATATTGGAGAACATGAATACTCTTGCTAGAAATGCCTCTCTGTCTTCCATAAGCTTGTTGGGTTATAGTCATTCAGAAATAAAAGTTCTCTGATGAGACTGAAATACTGAATATCAATCCAATCATGGGTGACAGATTTACAGACCTCCTTGCCTTGTCATTCTGGATAGTTAAGAGTTTTCACCTGTGCTCCTAGGCCTACAGGTCACATTCTGCAGTCAAGGACTGATGTGACTAGTGGCTTATAAAATGCTGGTTACCTTTTAAATATCTGGCCTATTATTAGGAACTTCTGCTGCATGTTTTTTCAGTTCTCGATGTATACCTTGCCATGCAGAATATTTACTGTATTTATTCCACATACAGAAACACCCTCAAGAAAAATAAGAAGTTATTTCCTTTAACAAGTTTTTATTCTGTACTCTCATCATTGCCTTAAACAGGATAGCAGTAATTGCTATTGGTGATTCATCAAGCTACAAAGAAGGGAAGCTGGCTTCTTTACCTCTAAGAGTTACTTGCCCCAAAACATATGCATCATTTAAAAATAACCACATTTTCAGATCTGTGGTTGAGGCTATGTCCATTCAGACAGCTAAATGTGTTAGATATGCCCCTCTCTGTCTCATGTAGTAACTGGAGCATATTTACAGTTCCTTGTATAATAACAAATTATACCATTCTTCTTACAGCTCATACCAATGTGGTTGCCAATGATACAGTCAAATCTAAAGGTAAGTTGTTTCTAGTACCTTATCCTTTTATTCTTAGCTTTATACATTTCTGTAAATTCTGGAAATAAGATCACTAGATGTAGGGTCCAAACTCCTGAAAATAGATAATTGTAGCATATCCAGATGCGCTGAATGGCTCAGCACTGAAGGTCTCAGGTGTGAGCGTACATATAGAGCATCATCAGGTAAGATACTTGTCCTGTAATCAGTACTGCTCTCCCTTCTTCAACACTTTCCTCTAACCAGGTTCTGCAGCAGGGCCTTTCCGCCCTGTTTACTGAGATTGCTTGTTCCCTGTGCTGTGGTTTGCTTGATGTCTTAGGCTTGAGGGTCCCCTGACAGATCAGGATTGGGACTTGACTCAGGAGATGGATTTTGGTTCTACAGCAGATATTGTGGGCCTGATCGATTGGGTAAAACTGTGCCAGCTGTCCCTGTTTGTAAGAGAGAGCAAGGTGGATCAGTGCGGTTTGATGAGAATAAAAGTGTTGGAGTTGGTCTTAGTATGGAGCTGTTTCTGTAAGCACATTTGTCTTTCATGGCATCACTACAGTGCAGGATGTGGAAGAAAGAAATGTGATATTGGAGCAGTGGAGGAAACTGGCCAAAACCCAGCACCTTTTGTAGTGCTGTATTAATGTATGTGTTCAAGGAAAGAAACTGAATGTTTTGCGTTATTTCAACAGCATTTATCTGCTGGACTCCAGCTACGACTCCAAGCCATCCAAAGCAATGTCAACCATCACAGCCTAAGGATGTTACAAGGGCCAGGACAAATGAGCAATAGCTCATCTGTGCTCCGCAAGTGGCTACAGTGTACCCAATTTAAAATGGCTCAAGTGGAAATTCAGTCATCAGAAGCTGCATCTCAATTTTATCCTTTATGATTCATGTAATTTGTTCCAAATGTTCATTTTTAGCCTAACAATAACAAGGTTAGAGCTGTAAAAGACCTTTTGTACAAATCAGTATACAGAGTATTTGCTGTATCTATACTTTTTAGCCTAGGACAGATTGTGGAAAAGCTGACAGTGGGTGAAGCTAAGAGCCTGATCCTGCCAGCCTTTAATTACGCTTACTCAGGATCAACAGGTTCTCGAGTCTGCATTCATGAACATGTGTTTGCAGGATTGGACTAAAATCTATGACATTGTACATATCTCTTTGATCATTGAAGTATCTTGTTCTTAAATGTTTCTTTACATTATTTTTGAGGCTAAGACAAAAATAACTTTTCTTTAACTTCTAGTTTTTTTAAAAATAGAATTGTGGGTATTCACAAACATATGGAAGTGCTATGTTGCTATTTTTTGATGATAACAAAAGAAAACGGGTTTTAGGAGTTTATAGGAGCTTTTGGGGGCGGTGGTGCTTTTGTTTTTGGTTTTTGGTTTTAGATTCACAGCTGGCAATGCAATAAAACCTGTCACTATAAAACAGTGATGTTCTAATGAGGCTTTTTGTCATTATCTTCTGTGAAAACAGCAGCTCGTAAGGAGAGTTATTATAAAGTGCACTTAGAAATTAGATTGTTAAACTGTGCCAATTCATCTGTCTTTTCCTTCAGTACTGTTTTCCAAAGCTGACAAGTCTGATTTATTATTTTTTGAAATACTGCTTTTACTTCATTGATTCTGCACTGCTCTTATTTGTAGGTTTCATAGAAGCCTCTTTAATTTTGTGACTACTGTGTTGTATTCTTCTGTCAATACTTGTATACAGTGCAAATAAAAATTGATATCCCAGACGTACTCTTATTGATATTTACAGAAATTATGTTGCAGACTTCAAGAGGAGCATGATTGGACCTGAACATTTGCATACTGTTGTATTAAACATGATGTTGAATAACAGATGGATTTTAATATCATTAAGGGACTCAGTCAAAGCCCATTGGAATCTAAGGAGACTCAATTAGTTGAGTGGATTTTACATAAAATCTTGAGAGCAGCATGATTTACCACCTCTTGTAATTAATACTTAAATCTGTGCAATCATAGTTATGTTTTCTGTATTTATTCCTGTAATGCACTGATTAGAAGAATAACAAACACACATTTAAGATGTGTATTAGAATGCTGTTAAGTTCCTAGTCTTTATTACCACTCTCAGAATCAACATTTTTCCTCCCTGATTGCATGGAAGTGGAAAGGCATACCTGTAAAGAACTGCCCAAATACATATCACTTGTTGTGGAGGGTCGGTCTTTCCTCAGTGCATTTACCAAAGAAAAAGGGGAAATGTTTGCAGATGTGCCATTAAAGTACCATTATGCTTTATTAAAAAACCCAAATCAAAAAAACCTAAGTAACCAATCAACCAAAAGACAGTAAGGCATGCACTATCTTTCTTAAAAGATGCCCTTCACTGTGTTTTTAGTGGAGATCAGCTGACCTGGCTTTCCTTCCTTCTCAGATTCTCACATTAATATAGTCTGAGCTTAAAATGGACCAATCTATCCAAAAGAAAATCTGAAATTCATCGTAAGCTATTTAATTGTAAGTAGTTTTGCTTGTATTTGCTTGAGGGAGTGACTTCCATCTGACTAAGCAGAGTTTTTGAGTTTCTGGAAAATATTTCTGTCTTCATGTGAAGATTACTGAGACCCACCAGATGATAATTTCTTACTGTTTCAGGCACTGATTTTTGTTATGCTGAATTGAGATTGCCCAGACCTGCCTGAATTGATAAGGGAGGGCTTCTTCCCAAATTTTCATAGTGGTAAGAGAGGGAAACAGCATTATTTCTCCAGCTCTTGACTGACTATGGGGAAAAGAAGAAAGTGATACAGAAATTATTATACATGGTCCCATCCCCTCCTTTTTTCGCTTACAAATCAGCTAATAGTCATTACGTAATCACAGAATGGTTGAGGTTGGAAGAGACCTCAGGAGGTCATCTGCTCCAGCCCCCCTGTCAGGGGTCACCTAGGCTGCCCAGGAACATGTCTAGATGGCTTTTGAATATCTCTAAGGACAAAGACTCCATAACCTCCCTGGGTACCCTGTGCCAGTGCTCAGTCACCCTCAAATTAAAAAGAGTTTCCTGATGTTCTGATAGATTCCTGAAGGCTGGTCTTGCCAGTAAAGACTGAGGAAAAGAAGGCGTTCAGTACTTCAGCCTCTTCCATGTCCTGTGTAACCAGGTCCCCCATGTTATTCAGCAGAGGGCCCACATTTTCCCCAGTCTTCCTTTTGTCACCTATGTACTTATGGAAGCTGTTCTTTTTGTCTTTGATATTCCTTGCGGGGTTCAAATCATGCTGGGCTTTAGCTTTCCTAACCTCATCCCTGGATGATGGGATAATGTCTCTGTGTTACTCCCAGTATACTCATCCTTGCTTCCACTTTCTGTATGCTTCTTTTTTGTGTTTTGCCAGGAGCATCTTGTTCATCCACACAGGTGTCCTGGCTTTTTTTGCCTGACTTCCAACTCATTGGGATGGACTGCTCTTGAGCTTGGAGGAGGTTGTCCTTGAATATTAACCACCTTTCTAGGGTCCTTCTTTCCTCCAGGTCCTTATCCCATGGGACTCTTCTGAGCAGATTTTTGAAGATGTCAGAGCCTGCTCTCCTGAAAGTCTAAGGTTGTGAACTTGCTTTTTGCTCTGCTCCCTCCCCTCAGGATCCTGAACTCCACCATTTCTTGGTGCTGCAGCCAAGAGTGCCTTTGACTTTCATATCCCCAACAAGCCCCTTGGTGTTGGCCAGTATGAGGTCCAGCAGAGCACCAGTCCTTATTGACTCTTCTGCTGTTTGGGTGAGGAAGTTGACACTGATATACTCCAGAAACCTCCTGGATTGCTTATGCCCTGCTGTGTTGTCCCTCCAGTAGATATTGGGGTGGTTGAAGTCCTCCATGAGGACCAGGGCCTGCAAATGTGAGGATGCTCCTATCTGTCTCTAGAGGGCCTCATCTGCTTGTTCTTCCTGGTCAAGTGGCTTATAGCAGACATCCACTACAATGTCACCCCTACCTGTCTTTAATCCTTACCCATAAGCTCTCAATTGGCTCCTCCTCCATCCCCAGACAGAGCTCCATGCACTCCAGCTGCTCCGTCACAGAAAGGACAACTCCCCCTCCTTGTCTTCCCAGCCTGTTCTTGCTAAAGAGGCTGCATCTCTCCGTTGCAACACTCCAGTCATAGAAACCATCCCACCACGTCTCTATGATCTCAGTGAGACTGTGGCCCTGCAGCTGCACACAGGTCCCCAACTCATCATGCTTACTCCCCATACTGTGTGCATTAATGTACAGGCACTTCAGAGAGGCCCCCCCAGCGTGTTGATTTCCTGGAAAAGGTTTTGAGGATTTTTCTATAATGGTGCCCTGTAGGCACTTCCTTGCTCACATGCAAAATGCTGGTGGTGATCCCAGTTGAGGCCTGTTTTGCTGACTTGGTGATCCCTTCTTGTCACATAAGCTGAGGCCCTTCATTCATTGATCCTGTCTGTCACTCCCTCACCGAGGTGCCGTTCAAAACTGACTACATGGTAGGCAGCTGTAACTTCAGCCTTCAGGCAAAAAGGACCCGTGGACTGTGTTTTTAGTGGAACTGACTCCTGTTCCTGGGCTGTGTCTTCTTCATGCTTGCGTTTGCAATATAGATGTGGTTACACACCAAAGTAACCACATCAATAGGGCCTAAGTTCACTCTTTGTGGGATCTGGGGTCACCCTAGTGAAATGGAAGTGCTACTGGGCCCCTGAAAGCAGGACATACAAGAGAGAGATTCCTGTATTTTGATCTGCTGTGGCTTGGTGGGTCTGACAGACAACTGAAAGGCAGTGAGTGGGAGAGAATATGAGGCCCTTGGGTATGAGGTAGGTGAACTCAGATGAGTATAATTTGGATTGTGGAAACTTAAAGGATAAAGACATCATTTGGAGGGAAGAGCAGAGCCTGAGAAAGTTTGTCTTTAAAAAGTTACTTTTAGAAAGTAGAAGCCATGATCAGGCATCTCACTCGGCGGATAATGAATGTAGGCAACACTGCACAAGCGCTTTCCCTGCCTAGGAAAATCTCTGCCTCAAAGCATTGACTATTCAGACTGGCAAAACACACACAAAAGAAGAAAATACAGTGGTGAGTAGCTATTAAGCCAAAACCAGACCTGCTGAATCCAGGTCCATAACTAAACACTTTTAAGACTTTGTGGAAATTTAGATCTGGTTTCAGCTCAGAGTTTAGAGCCAAAAGCTGGTCACAGACCCTACTCCATACCTGAACATAGATTTTAGTATGCATCTGTCACCAATTATAATTAATATGGTTCTTTCAGAGCTGTTAAATGTAAGCAACTGAAGACTATAAATATGAATTGAGAAGCTGCTTTAGTATAGAGAATACAGCCTGGAAGAGGGTATGACCAATGATTAGGGATGTGTTGACTAATTATAACAAATAACATGGGGCTTGACCAGATGTGCGTGGTTTAACACCTGATGAAAATCTCTAAGTGCACTCCAGGCATTTTCAGAAGTACAGATATCTGCATTAATTGTTTTTAAAGGCACTGTAAAATATATCTTTACAGTGCCTGAGGTCAATATACAACTCAAGTGAGTCACTCACATTATCTCTGAAATAGCCCAGAGCAGCAATTCTTTATATTCTGTGGGAAGATTAGGAAGTAAACAACATTTGGTGTTCCCTGAAAATGCTACCAAATAGCAGAGGCCGATCTTCCTGCTCTGCCACACTCCCAGCATGGCTGTGTCTCTGGGGATGTGTCACCAGGAGCAGAATCCATCCTCTGTCCGATCATACAGAGCTGCTGTTTAGGAACAGCGTTTAGTCATCTGTTGCAATAAGCTGCTTAAATCAATGCCTGTTACCAGGCCTGACCTAGTAAAAGAATCCATTTACTGTGTGCTGAACTGTGAAATTTTCAACAATGCAGGGCACTTCGGATGAAGCGACGGGTAAACCCCACATCGGCCATGGCGCTGGGTTACGTAACTCGGTGTCCTGAGAGCGAGGTGAACCTCCACGCCAGCACCTCGGGGTGCTCTCCTGATGCTAGTGAGAAAGCCGCTGTCTGAGCCGCGCGCGGGGCCACGCCAACAAAAGGCTTTTGCAGCACGTCAGTTACTATCTACGTACGCGCCTTATCTTGTACGTAACGTTTCTGTGACATCTCGTTAGAGCCGCGGCAGGGTCAAAGGCCCTACAAACACACAGTCAGTTTTCTGGCTCTGTTTTTCATGCTATGACAGGACTCGATGTGCTTTAGGACTGAAGAACATTCTGGACCCGAAGATCTCTCTGAACTCTGGCCCGCACAGCCTCCTTTCAAGCTGGATGAAGCTTACCAGAGCCCAGGGCTGTTTAGTCTTTGCTAGCGTGTTCTGGAAGAGAGCTCTGCAGCAAAGGTTCCTGTTCCCCCAGCTGCACACCGCTCTGGGAGAGTTTCATCCACCGTTTTTCTTGCTGCATCTTAATGTAACTCTTCAGCAGGGCCAAAGTCAGTACTCTTCCAGTCAGATCTGAATTTTGATTGCACGGGGGCTGTTTAGTCAACAATGTGTGTCTTCGGTCTTAGCAGTCTGCCTAAAATCACGCAGAGACAATGGCGTTACAGTTGGCTTGAAGCTGACACACTGTTTGTCTTGATGCAAATTTGAAAGGAAGGGCTCTGCATTTGTGTGTTGATTTATAACTTTGAATTACTCCATTCACTTCTGCCTCTCCCCGCTGAGCACAATTTCAGCTGAAGGCTGAGCGTCAAGGGTGGCAGTGAGAATAGCAGTTGGAGGGGAAGTTGCCCTGGTGTGTCTCCAGCTGCAAAGGGATCAGGCGGAGAATCTGAATC